AGCAGTCAGAGCATTTGGTTAGGGAGGCAACCAATCGACGTGTCTCTCATGTCGATGTTTCACCCCCTGCCTCCCATCTCCCACTCCCGAGTAATCAATGGGAAAAATATCCTCGGGTGAGGATTAAGAAAAGGTTGGGGGTTCAATCACTTAAAATGAGTTTTTAAAAAATCATTACTGAAATTGAAAAAAGCCCTACTCAGTTTCCCTTGAGATAATGCCATTAAAGTGTGTAGTCCAGGAAAAAAGTCAGCTATTTACATGGTTGGACCTTCCTACTCCAATAAACCAATGGGGACGGTTAGTAAAAGTGAGAATTTTGCCCTAGCCAGTTTGGTTTCGTGGATAGTGTCCGCGGGTTTGATTCTGGTCAAAGGCATGTACCTCACCTGGAGGCTCATTCCCCGGTCCCAGTTGGGGGCGACCAGTTGAGACACATCGATGTTTCTGTCTCCCCTTCTCTTTCACTCTCAAAATCAATGGAAAAATATTTTCTGGTGAGGATTAACAACAAAAGTCAGAAAATTTTTTACACTTTTTCTCACCTAGCATGATCTTTTCTAAAAAAATATAATTATTGAAATAATTATAACTCTGCTTGCCATGGCCATTTGAGTACCCTGTTTAAATTTGTAATAATCACTACTTGGCCCTAGCCGGTTTGCTCAGTAGATAGAGTGTCGGTTGCAGACTGAAGGGTCCTGAGTTTGATTTCAGCCAAGGGCACATGCCCGAGTTGTGGGCTCGATCCCCAGTAGGAGGCATGCAGAATGTAGCTGATCAAATCTCATCACTGTTTCCCTCTCCCTTCCTCTCTGAAATCAATGAAGAAATTTTTTTTTTTTAAAAAAATCACTACTTGCCTTCACTGCCCTTTTCTTGCTTTATTTCCTTCCATAACATTTAGCATTATGTTGTAGTTATATCATGCTTTGGTTTATTATCTGCTTCCTATTAGAATGCAAGCGCCAAAGGCAATACTATCACAAATGAATTATGACAGGTCAGTGTGGTTTATGTGTTTGTCTTTACAACTACAGTTGCCTCTCTTCCATTGTTTTAAACAATGACTCGAGATACATCAAGGAATGGCTGAAGCAGAGTAAACAAGGGAGAAAAGTTAAAAAAAAAAAAGCCCAGCTTGTATAGGCCCTTCCAGGCCATTTAAGTCCTTTATCTTTTATCTATGGGAAATTATTAGAGGGTTTGAACAGAGGGGTAAAGTAATGGGATTTATGTATTCAATCAGTCTGGCTGCTGTGCTGAGAAAGACTAAATGGGACCAAGGGCAGGAACAGAAATAGGGTAGTGCTATAATTAGGCAAAATATAGTAACTTAGGCCAGGGTGGTAGCAGTGAAAGTGGTGATCGGATTTTGGATATACTTTGAAGTTGGTCACCATGTGATTTGCTGGTGGAATGTACATGGAATGAGAAGTCAAGGATGAAAGATTTTACCTGAGCAACTAGAAATGACTTGCCATTACCTGAGATGGGGAAAAAACTAGAATTAACAGATTTGGGGATAGTGGAGGTCAGTGGCTCAGGAGCTTAGTTTGAGATTTCCTATTAGACACCCAAGTGAAGATGTGAAGTCAAAGAAGTTAGACATAACATTTTAGGTTCAGGAGATAGTTTTGTCCTGGAAATAATGAATTTGAGAGTTCTGAGCATGTCAATGGTAAGATCACTGAGGAGTGAGTGTAGATAGGGAAGGGATCAAATGACAGCCCTGGGCACCTCAGCTTTTAAGAGGACGGGGAGCTAAAGAGGAACCAGTAAAAGAGAAGTGAACTGAGGTTGCTGAACCCAGTTTAACACCTGGTGTCATTTGTCCGCTTTGAGCAAATGCAGTAACAGATTGTGCTTTGGAACTAGAGTGGGTCAGCGGCTGCTTACCACTCAGCTTTGTGTCAAAGTGTCAGGCCATAAAAAGCTGTGGCCCACCCCCTGGCAATGGGCAAGGAGACACGTGATTAGTGGTTGCTCTTACAGCAGTCAGGAGTGAACAGACAAGACCGTCCCTACTTAATTCATCCTAGCTTGATGCCTGTATTGCTGGTCAGAGCTGTTTCATGCCTGGGGCATAAAAAAAGAGAGAAGGAAAAGTAATGACAATTATATCCCAGGGTCTCAATATGTTCCAAATAGAAATATTAATTAATTATTGTTAATGAGGTTAACTGAGAGTTATGTTTCTCCATTTAGAAAAGACTGCTTAATCCAGAGATAATGTGGAATAGGTAATATTAGTTGATATAATAGTGGATACCCTTTGGTGTCTTCATCAGAAGTATCACGATCTTCAATGTTGAAGTGAATAGGGACATCATTAACATGCTTCTTAAGTGTATAACTAGAAAGGGAATTTGTTATCCCTAAGTCAACCAAAATAATCACAACATTCAGATAAATACAGAAACTTCCAAAATAGTATGGCTGTGAAGTATCGCCTTCATCACATTGTAGGAGATTAATAAACAAAACATAATCCTACATGACTCAGGAAAAAAATCATAACCTGTCAACTTCTCAGACTAGCCAGGATGACATCCTGCCACATTCTTCTGGGATCTCAACTAGCAACTTTGACCTACAAAAGCTTATATCAGTAAAAATTGCCCTGGATACAATGATTTGAAAAGTAAAACATTACCTAGTGTAGGAAATACATATTTAAGAAGATGGTTCTTTGAAGTCTTGTTAAAATGAAAAATGTAGGCTCTTTTAGGTCATAAATGGTAAATAGTGTTGAAGATACTTTCTTTTTAAAAAAATATATTTTATTGATTTATTTTACAGAGAGGAAGGGAAAAGGATAGAGAGTTAGAAACATTGATCAGCTGCCTCCTGCACACTCCCCACTGGGGATGTGGCTGCAACCAAGGTACATGCCCTTGACCGGAATCGAACCTGGGACCTTTCAGTCCGCAGGCCGACCCTCTATCCACTGAGCCAAACCGGCTAGGGCTGAAGATACTTTCTTGAGAA